AATATATTTATAGCTATACAATTTTAAATATAATAGTGAAGCATGATTGCGACCGCCTTATAACAAAAGTAAATATATTTGTTGCATATGTTTCAAAATAAATTTTATACTTCCTCGTGCATAAATAAACATTTAGAGTTATAAAAGAGGAATCGGGAGAATACAATGAGCACATGGCAAAATGAGGATGAATGTGTGAAATGTACCTCTATGGATTATGAGGTATGGATTATGAGGTGACGGAACACATGTGGTCATGAGAGAGGGATCCTGGAGATTCTACTTTATTATCATGAGAAATTATCAAAGGAAAATGGTTTGATAGGTCATGAGAAATTATCAATGAACAACGGTTTGATTGGGTTGCAGCCTAGTCAGAATACGTAAAGCCTCACCTCATAGCTCATTCAAATTTTCGATTCAAGTATTAAAAAACCTTTATATCGATCATCTCGGCTGGAACAATATGGCTGTGAAAAAAATTAGGATTTAAAGTTTTAAAATAGTGTATATTGTAATAAATTATCTAAATCGTCCAATTCGTCCAAAAATTAAGTGTTCATAGATATGTACTATTTTTTAGTTTCAAATTTCACTGTCATTTCGTCGCTTGCTACGCCCTTCTTCGTCTCTGGGTGTCTAGGTATCCACTCTAAATTGTTAATTTCGTCGCTTGCTACGTCTTTCCTCGTCTCTGGGTGACTAGGTATCCACTCTAAATTGTTAGAGCCATCGTATTTTCCAATGCCAAAAATGCTTTCCATAAGAAGATTTTAAGCCAGGCTTAATTTTGTTTTCATAAAGCCTAGCCCTTATAGAAATTTCTTCCATTATTCAAATATCTAACTTATCAACTATTTAGCAATTTACTTAATTTTCAACTATTACAACGCATGATCATGTGTATTTCGACGAACTTTTCAAAATTAAATCAAAATAAATTGGTAAGTTTTTTAAAGTTCATCTCTTAAGCATGTTTTGATAAATTCTCAATATATCACTCATGAAAGCAGAACAAAAAAATTGAAAAATAAAAAGAAAGCCGCTATCCATTGACAAAAGGCCTCGTGGCCTTATCTTTAATGTCATAAGGTGGAGATGAACAATCCATAGTTGCCGGTGTATTGTATTTTTCTTGGATATTTTCAAGAAATGATTCGAATTTGAGATTTAATGTTGCAATCGGGTTGCCACATTGAGAGATCGACGGTGGTATTTAGAACTAAAACATGCCACACAAAAAATGAATAAAGCTGAAAAGTGATGAAACATATACAAAACCTTACAGAAAGGGATCGAGAAATGTACAATAACATACCTTGGAAGCACACTAATTGCCTATGGGAAGGTACTGAGAAGTGATCAAGGTACACTATAAATTTTTTCACGTGGTTAGGCATGGGAATATTTTCATACTAATTAGTAGCAAAAAACACTATAAATTTCCTCATATGATTGGGCATGGGAATATTTTCATGCTAATAGCATCGAGAAATGTACAATAACATACCTTGGAAGCATACTAATTGCCTATGGTAAGGTACTGAGAAGTGAGCAAAGAACACTGTAAATTTCCTCATGTAGTTAGGCATAGGAATATTTTCATACCATTTAGCAACAAGGAACACTGTAAATTTCCTCATGTGATTGGGCATGGGAATATTTTCATACCAATTAGCAGGAAGGAACACTATAAATTTCCTCACGTGATTAGGCATGGGAATATTTTCATATCAATTGGGTATGAAAGATGTACAGGGGAATACTCTCATACCAATTAGCTCTCAATTGGTATGAAAGATGCATTGGGACCGTTTGGTATGAAAATATTTCTACAACTAAGCACATGATAGAGTTCTTTTGCGTGAAAATATTTATTGGGAAATGTTTTCACGCGAAACAAATGTGCTCTAAGGGAAAATATTGTAGATAAGTTAATATGGTGAATTATACAAGTTGAAACCACTTTCATTGTAGCTTATTATCTCTGCCTTATGTATGAACACATTGAAGGTTGTAAAACTTAGGATCGGGAATCGCCGATGCAAATTTGATTCAGTGACTCGATACAAATTGGATTCAGTAACTCACTGGGCCGATTCGATCATGGAACATAAATTGGTCCTATTCTATAATTGGATGGTTATTGTTCAATATTGGGAAGTTAACTTTTTCGAGGCACATAGAGAATCCTATTTAAAATTTTCTCTTTGGGTCGGCTATTAGGTTCTAGAGGCTACATCCCTAAAACTTCGGTCCCAAACAATATTCCTAAAAGGAGTTTTACTCCTAGGGAGCAAATGCACAGTACGCTCATGCAGCAACAATAAATTTTTTAACATTTAAGTTTTGGTATGAGGTGGTCAGAGTCCACAATAACGGCGAGATATCACAAAATTTGAACGTCCTGATATTAATTTTGAAAAATATGTATATTGCAGCATGATATTTTCTCTTATGAATTTGGAATTCCAAGGAAACATTTTTGGGAATATTTTTAAAAATATTTATAAGAGAATGAGAGATGCACTATTTAACTTTTTATAGATATGCAACTATTCTAACTCATGATCATGTGTATTTTGAAATGAAATAAAAAATATGATTAAAATGTTAAATAGTTTAGGGATATTTTAATAAACGGTGTGGTTTGTATAAGGTTGAAACCTAAACAATCAAAGTAAGACACACCCTCAAATAGTATCGAAGGATGTTCTTTCGGTACTAGAATTTATTGTGATGACCTAAAAATTTGTTTTCATCTCTAATTATAAAGTATAGGGTTTTAGAAATAGTGTAGATCAAGCAGATCTATGAGTACTTGAAAGGTTTGAAAATTGACTGTCTAGAAAATACATTACAAGATGTATTGTTTTCAAGACTTGAATCTATTTTTTTTTATGTCTATACATCTTGAGGTTCATATGATCGATTCAAGGAATTTTGAGCATCGAAACAACCTCTTCCAATAAACTAAATTTAATTGTTTAGGGCCTCTATTATGTAAACTTTCTCCTTTAAGGAACTTTTTACTTTAATAAATTTCCCCTTTTTTTGTCCGAACTCCCACTTAATCCCAATGCATGCATTGAGCATTTAGGGAAAATAAAAAATACAAAAAATCAATATTTTCCCTAATAAGTGATTTCGTTACCGAGCATAATAGGCCGAGAGTCACCGAAATCTTCCGAAATTGATTTGAAAACTAGATTTTCGGCGTGGTCAAAGATATTCCTGATTTGATCGTTGGTGTTTTGTAGTATAGAAACTGTGGGGTGACGAAAGTGCGTAGGAATTGGAGGGACCACTTTTTTCCTAGAGAGAGAAAGCAAAAATTTATGGGAGGAGAGAGAGAAAGTAAGATTACACACGTGCCGAGAGGGACGTTGGGCGTACAAGGGCGGCATGGAAGTGGTGGAAAACCAGTAACACCCACCGCTTTTTTTGTTTTCTGACATCAAGAAAGAAGATGGGCATGAGAGAGAGAGAGATTAGTGTTTTAAGTCGAGAGATACAAAATCATTCTTATTTTAGAGTGAGAAAGACTAGGCGTGACAACAGGTCGGGTCCCGTTGGACTCGGACCCGGCCAAGCTTTCCGATCCATACTCAGACCCGAGGTCGAGTCTACTTGTCGGGGTTCTGGGTGTGATCGGGTCCATTGCCACCCCTAAAAAAGAGTATAAGTTAGAACTGTGAATGAATTGAAGTAAAAAAACGAAACGAGTTGTATTTTAGAGAGAGGAGCTCAACTGAAATAAAATTAGGTAAATGTTATCACCAAAAGAAAGATATGTGTGTGATTTGTATAAAGTCAGCTCCTTAATAAGCCTAACCTCTAAATGATGCTGAAAGATGCTGTTTCAGTGCTATAAATCCCTATTATTATCTCTAAAACTATTTTTATCTTTAATTATAAAATTTAAAGTTTTAAAAATGATGTAGATTAAGTCGATTTAAAAACAATTGAATATCTTAAAATAGAATAATACATTACAAGATGTAAATTTTTCAAGGATTTGGAATCCTCATTTTTTACGCATCATATATCTCGAGGTCAAATTGATCAATTGAAGGGATTTATATATGAGGTCGAGATGATCCATTGAAGGACATTTTCTAATACGTTTTTTGAGGTGTGCCTTACTTAGTATGAAGTTGGCACCTTCTATAAATTTTTCCAGACATGGCATTGTCTTGAGTTGAATAGCAAGAATAAATTTGACCTTTGAAAGAAAAAAGGAAACTAAATGAAATGAAATGAAAGATATAGTCCTTAATAGAATAGAATAGCAAGAATAAAATTGACTTAATTAGTTGAAAAAAAGATTTGATGAAAGAAAATGAGACGTAATAGAGTAGAAGAGCAAGAATAAATTTGACTTAATTAGTTGAAAAAAGGATTTGATGAAAGAAAATGAGACGTAATAGAGTAGAATAGCAAGAATAAATTTGACTTAATTAGTTGAAAAAAAGATTTGATGAAAGAAAATGAGACGTAATCTAGAGAGAGAGGCTATTAGCGTTCATCACCAAACGAAAAGTACCTTCGAATTATTTTCCTAGAGAGAGAAAGGAACTCAAACAGATATTACAGCCACTCTAGTTTCACATAAATGCCGAGCCGCCATTGCCAAAACACTTGTAGAGAGAGAGAGACCCGTCATTGCCAAGCCACTTCTTTAGAGAGAGAGAGCCGTCACTGCCAAGCCCCTTCTTTTAAGAGAGAAGAGAGAGAAAGAGAAGCTCAAGCAGCAGTAGTCATTGCTCATTAGTCACCAAGCCACTTCTTTAGAGAGAGAGAGAGAGAGAAGAGAGAGAAAGCCGTCATTGCCAACCCACTTCTTTAAAGAGAGAGAGAGAGAGAGAGAAGCTCAAGCAACACGTAGTCATTTTAAGAGAGAGAGAGAGCCGTCATTTGCAAACAACTTTGTTGTTTTTAAAAGAATCCGTTACAATCTCTGCCCCTTCCCTATATAAATCAATGTTATGAGCAGATAGTAGACAACCACTCTCTCTCTACCTATCTAATAACAAAATGCAGCTGAGATTGGGCTCAACGGAGATGGACCTAGGCTTGAGCCAGGGCATGGACGAGTGGGTTCAGCAAGTGGCCGGCGAAAGTGCAGTGGTTGTCTTCAGCGACCAAGGGTGTTGCATGTGCCATGTGGCGAGGAGCCTGTTCTCGAGCCTTGGGGTGAGCCCAGCGGTGCACGAGATAGAGGAAGGGTGGCGTGGCGACGAGGTGAGGGCGGCACTCTGCCGGATTGCTGGAGGGGTGGAGGTGGCCTTGCCGGCTGTGTTTGTGGGGGGGCGGCTTGTCGGCGGGCTGGAGAGAGTGGTGGCTTGCCATATCAGTGGCGGTCTTGTGCCCCTCTTAAAGGAGGCTGGGGCGCTTTGGTTGTAGAGAGAGAAAGAGAGCCATAGACAAGTTTTGATTTGTACATAAAAACTTCTCTCTCTTTGTCCTTCTGTTCCTCTCAAAGGTTTGGAGAGTGGACGTCCCTCTCTCTCTCTCTCTCTCTAGGAGTAGGCGTTTTTTCTGTCTAGGAAGTTGGTGCAGGTTTCTCTCTCTGTCTTATGTTTTGGAGAGTCATTCCATCTGGTACTTTCTCTCTCTACATTGAAGTAAATCTCTCTCTTCGATTTGTCGCTTTTGAATACAGTGTAAATTGCACACAGGTTATACTTGGATGAATACTGGTATTACCATATCGATTATGAACATACATAATTATGAAACATCACGTCTCTCTCTCTCTAAGTTTTTTTGAGAACAAATTCTCTCTCTCGAACAACTTCTCTAGTGAAGTTTGTGGTTACTCTCTTACTGTCTTATCGACATGGCAGTGAAGAGCTTTCTTTCTCTATCTCACTCTTTTTTTCTTCCTTGAGCACTCTTCTTAGCAACTCTGTTCTTTCTCTCTCTAGATTTGAGAACAACTGGTGACTCACCTTACTATCTCTCTCTTTCATCTCCTTCCACCTCTTAAAAACTCTCTATCTCTCTGGCAGTCAAGACCTCTCTGTCCTTCCGCATGTTTTTGACTCCCCTTTCTCTCTCTACCTTGCTCCTCTCTCTCTCTCTAGAAGTTCATCTGTCTCTCTCTACCTTGCTCCTCTTCTCACTCTCTAGAGAGGTTCATCTTTCTCTCTCTACCTTCCTCTGCTTTTTCTCTCTAGAGAGGTTTCTCTTTTCTCTCTACTTTGCTCCTCTTCTCTCTCTCTAGACAGGTTCATTATTTCTCTCTCTACCTTCCTCTGTCTTTTCTCTCTAAAGGTTTCTCTTTCTCTCTCTACTTGCTCCTCTTCTCTCTCTCTAGACTAGGTTCATTATTT